TTTATTTTAACATCACTTGTTTCTTTTTGCTTAAAAAAAAGCAGGGAGGCTGATGGCAAATTAAAGCATGATATGTGGCTCATGTTATAATTCCTTCGTGTCCTGCTGATCACAAGGCTCAAGAGGAAAACAGATTGAGGGGTTAAAACTGAAAAACAATCTGGACATGAAGTGATATGAGGGGGCTGGAGAGATGGCTCAGAGGTTAAGAGCATTGACTGCTCTTCCAGAGGACCCGGGTTCAATTCCCAGCAACCACATGGTGGCTCACAACCACCTTGAATGAGATCTGTTGCCCTCTTCTGGTGTGCAGATATACATGGAAGCAGAATGTTGTATACATAATAAATAAATAAAATCTTTAAATAAATAAATAAAATCTTTAAATAAATAAATAAAATCTTAAAAAAAAGAAGTGATATGAACTAGTGTTGTGTCCCTGGTATAGAGGATGGGAGGGTAACCAGAGAATTCTGGGAGCCATGAACAGGTCTAGGTGGCTGATGGAGCAAGTAAGAGAAAGGACACTTGCCTAGCCTTCCATGGCTGAGTGTAGGATGGAAAAGACAGGTTCTTTTTAAGCAGAGAACCTGTCAGGTCATTAGTATACAACAGCATCCATTCACTGGGCATCTGTGGGGATATAGCCAATGGCTAGCGACCCACTCAACCCCATTATGAAGTTTTTTCAACCTGATCTGATCTTCCAGTATTAGAACCTGACACACATGTACCTAGGGTGGTGAACTGGCTAGTTTTATGTCAACTTGACACAAGCTAAAATCATCAGAAAGGAGTGAGCCTCAGTTGAGAAAACGCTTCCATAGAGCCACTGGGAGGTGTTTTCTTAATTTGTGGTCTCAGACTGAGCAAGCCATAAGGAGCAAGCCAGTAAGCAGCACCCTTCCATGTCCTCTGCATCAGCTTCTGCCTTCAGGTTCCTGCCCTCACTGCTTTTGATGATGAACTGTGAGCAAAATAAACACTTACCTCCCCGAGTTGCTTTTGGTCTTGGTGTTTCATCACAGCAAATAGTAACCCTAATGAAGACAGGTGGGGACTGGGATCGATGTGAGTAACACCCTTCTCTGTCACAGTAAAACACTACCCTCCCTTATAGTCTGTCCTTGCTTCCCACTCTAAGCATCCTTCTTTGACCAGTACACAGCCCAGGCCAGAGCTGTGGGGATGCTGAGCAGTTATAGTATTGTAAACCATCTTATCTCCATCCCATATATCAGGGGCTTCTAGGAAAAAAACAGTCTTTTAGGCTGTGTTTGGATGTATCCAGGTCTTCTGAGTCCAGTTTCTAGAAACATACTTGATGTGTTGAGTGTAAAGAAGCAGTAAAATAACTGGGCATTGTTATTTTAAATTTAGAACTATCCCAACTTCAGCCATACCTCCCCCCAAAAAAAAATCACATCACATATTAATTGATACAGGGAAATAGAACTCAGAATTCCTGCTTCCAGACCAGGGCTTTTGTTAGTTAAGTTTTGAGCTTGTTTTTGTTGTTGTTGTTGTTGTTGTTTGCTTGTCTGTTTTCTTCTCTGCTTGCAATACTTGTTTCCCTCTCTGTCTCTGTATAGAATGACAATGAAGACACAATGCCCTTCAAGAATTTTACATCTGTTCTTGATATCTATTTATACCTAAACTCTGACACCATTCAAGAAATTGGAGTACTGTGGCATACACCTTTAATTTCAGCACTCAAGGGACAGAAGCAAGCAAATCTCTGTGGGTTCCAGGCCATCGTGGTCTGCATATAGAGTACTAGTCCAGCCAGGGCTACATAGTGAGACCCGATCTAGAAAAGAGAGAGAAAATAGTCATCTATTGTAGGATTTCATGGGGAAAGACAGCTGCTAGAGAGATTCATGGATTCTGATTGCTGTGCACGGCATTAGAAGCTACTGAAGCTCCAAGAGTGATCACAGAGCATATCTGTGGTTCTGACTCAGAGCCTCGGGGTCTGACTCACACCTGAGTTACCACCCAAAGGAGCCTAAATGCATTTAGATCAGTGGTTATCTTTAACATGTTGTCAAACAGAAAGAGAAAAGTTGTGCAAAATGGTTCTAATTCTGTCGGGAGACTCCAGAAGAGAAAGGACCCTGCTGTCTTTGAGATGTCTAAGTGGATAAGCCTGGTGACCTGAATTTAGTCCCCAGAACTCGCATGGTGGAAAGAGAGCAAGAGAGTACCAACTCTCACAGACTTTCCTCTGACCTACACACACACACACACACACACACACACACACACACCGACCCACACACACACACACACACACGCACACAAGCACACACGAATGTTAAAATTTTTTAAAGAAAGAAGCAAAGGAAGGACGAGAGGAAGGGAGGGAGGGAGGAAAAGAGAGATCTTGAAGGAAATTTGGATTTAAAAAGGAAAGGGCCAGGAAGTGTATTCATTTTCCTTGAAGCATCTAGTCTGGGGCTTGCGCTCTGGTGTTGGCAAAGTGGTCTAAGTCAAATGCACGAGTGAAGGGCTGCATGGTGGATGGCCATTCCATGGTGGGGGCACAGCGCAGCACAGAAGAGAAGTCAGGCTTCCAAAGGCTCCCAATCAGCGATGGCTCCAGCCTCAGCCTCCTGTCTAGGATGCCTCTGTTACAGATGAACTGTGAAGTGAGGTGATGCAGTTGTATGCAAGTGCAGTTTGGTCGACTCACCACAAGAATCCGGGCATGCCACATGACTTCCCCTCCCCTAATACTGACATGAAAGACAAGCATTCAGAAAAGACCACAGTAACCAGAGACTCCTGCGTGTGGCCCCAACACGCTCCAAGGAGTGCTGCACTGCTGTGAAAGCCCTGGAACTCCAACTTTTATGTCTTTTTCACAGCTTGAGGGAAAAAAAAAAAAAAAAAAACTTGCAATGTTCAATCAAGTCTCAAAGACGAGGGGTCAGAAAGCAAGTGGTTTGAACTTCCTAAGCGTCCTTTCCTGCACAAACCATTCCCTTTCTCTTGAGAGACCAAATTGTTGTTCTCAGATCTGTGAGTAGTTAATAAATCGAGATGGGCCGAGTAGCATTGTAGCCATGGGAAACTACCGTTGGGCAATGTCAGATGAGCTCTCTGGAAATGAAAGTGCCTGTGAAAGTAGAAAAAATGTCTTTTTTTCTCAGTGACAAGTGTCCCCTCAACACTATGAAACTGGCAGCTGTGGCCTGTCACACCTATTTAGGGGCTGATGGCTTCTCTTTTACCTTGCCTTCTCTGAAATACAAGGTCAAGAGCTACAACAAGCAAACAGCAGCGCTGGCTGTAGGTCTAGGATGCTGTAGTTTCTTAAGAGGAACTTTGGTATAGAAAAAAATATCCCATGTTAGAAAGAGCTTTAGCTTCCCTGAGAGCAAATGGAGCTCAAAATACATTGCAAGTCCTCCTCCCAGCCTTTGCTGATCTCTTGACGTCTCTGAAATACAAGGTCAAGAGCTACAACAAGCAAACAGCAGCGCTGGCTGTAGGTCTAGGATGCTGTAGTTTCTTAAGAGGAACTTTGGTATAGAAAAAAATATCCCATGTTAGAAAGAGCTTTAGCTTCCCTGAGAGCAAATGGAGCTCAAAATACATTGCAAGTCCTCCTCCCAGCCTTTGCTGATCTGTTTCCCCAGAAGAGGGGCCTTTCCCTACAGAGGTCTGGATGTCCCCCCACCCCAAGGACCATTATCTTGCTTGTGATACGCTATCTAGAGCCAGGCCAAGGATTGCCCTCCCAGTCTTCATGCTCTGGGAAGTTAATGTGCTCTGTCTTCCCAGTACTACTCTTAAGGATGAGCTTGTGACTCAGCAAGCTTGTGGCAACCTGTAACTCGCTTTTCACTGTGTCCTAGCACTGTGCCAAATGATCTTCTGTCTTCTGTGTCAGTTCTCAAAATAATCTTATGAGGTAAGAAACAGAAGCCCCATCGTCCAGATGAGGAAGTAGAAGCATGGGAAGGACAACTCCTTTGAGCAGTGGAGCCTGGACTGAAGGCAAGCCATCTATTCCAGGAAAGGCCAGGATCAGTCCTACCCTATCTGGATGCCTCAGTCTCTTATCTGAGGTAGCTCTTTAGCAGGGTCACTGCCCAGGCCCTGCAGAAATCTCCCGTAGACCTCACAGTGCTATTTCACTGGTAGGTTCTGTTTCTGTCATTGGTGTCTTATAGTGGCCTGAGTCACCCACTGAAAAGCCTATGTTTTTTTGCCTCAAATAAGCTGTGGGTTTCCCTGAGAAAGAGGGAATGGTCTAAAGTTCATTCAGCCATGAGTCCTTCAGAGATCACTCAAAACAGATTAGCCAAGTGGGTTGAATCATGGCACCAAAGCTCAAAAGGTTGTCCCTACATGACCAGATAATTTGGCCAAGCTCTGTGGCCAAAGGCTGTGTACATAATTACAGGCAGCCATGTTGCAGATTCCTAGAGCTAAGAGATCTTGGAGGGCAAATGGAAATGGATGGCCACAAGCATTTTCACACTCACAACAGCCTCAAACACATGCAGAGGGGAGGGAAGTGTGTGTAAATAAATCTGGTCTGAGTTTAAGATTTAGGAACAAGTCTTTATAGTGAGCTGCAGAATAACCAGGGCTCATAGTAAGGCCCTGTCTCAAAAAGCAAAAGAGAAAACAAACAACAACACAGAAAATCTAGGAGAGGGGACCTTATATGCACCTTTTAATATTTTACATGGGCCTTTTGCAATATATGTTTCCAATGAGTGGCCTTTGTTGTATAGGATGCACTTTCCCTCATTGTTAAATGTCTCTACCTTCACTGTAATCAAAGAAAAGGATCATATTATATGAAGCTACCTGCAGAAGCTCCCTCCAGTTTATTACTAGCATCACTATAGAAGCAGTAAGGGAGGCCCGCTGTCCTGGGTATCACAGCTGAGGGACCAGATGCAATGCTCCCTCTCTGCTAGTCTCATCTCTTCTAGAGCTATGTGCCCCCCTCCCCGCTGTGCTAGAGGCCATAATACAGACCACTGTCCTGACCCACCCTCTGGGTTTTACCTTCTTATTCTTTGCTATCAACTCAGCCTCTGGGAGTTTCAGGCTACACTGGAAAAGAAACCCAGACAGCAAAAGCTTGAGTGGGTATGGAGCTGCCCTACTACTAAGAACTTAACAGAATCCCAGAGATAGATCAAAGTAACTCAGAGAAAGAACTCTCAATGTTCTTATCACAAAAAAATGATTAGTGTTTAATATCATAGGTAGCTCAAATATCCTGCATTGGTTGTGACTCATGTAATCTATACATGAGCCAGAATATTATTATCCCAGTATGTACAATTTTTATGGGTCAATTAAATATATATTTTAAAAAAACAGGTGGTAAGCTAGAAAAAGAACTGACCACAACTGGAACAGAGGCTGGGAAAGCTGATTCACTGATGGGCAAAGAACTGAGCATAAACAGAGAGCTAAAGGGTCATAGCTAACTGTAGGACCAGAAATAATGATTATACAAAGTAAGGGACTCAACACCCTCCTCGTGAATCTGGACTAGCTAGCTCTCATGGCCCAGCCCCTCTGAATTACAAGTCTCCTTGAAGCTGTTTACTGCTCAGCTGCCTCACCAGACATTCTCAAGGAGGGAAAGGAAATAGAATTAAAAATCTATCAGTGGCTTTCCGTATTGGCACAGTTCCACTAGAAGCCTGAGTGGGAGAGGACTTTGGAAGCGAGGGCTTAATGAGGAGTTGTGATTGTTGGAGGTGGCCTGTCCCCCCACTGGGAAGTTACTGTAATCTGGGAGAGGTCTGCCAGAGGTGATGGTGAGCACCCTGGAGGAGAACCGATGGAGAGGGAGGAGGGAGACTCCTGTGTTCTTGGGCTCTGTAGTGACTGTCCCTTTGCAGGGAGTGCCTCTTCTTGGGGTTGCCACTTCTCATTTTTAAGGATGGAAATCACCCATAGAACAGTGGCCCTCCCCCATTCCCCAAGGACAACAAGGGGCAGAACATCATCCCTTGCCCTTCTAGCTGAAAGGCTTGACAAGCTGTTTGGAGGTGATACGTAGCAACCCTTCCTCATCTCCCTATCTAGGAATGCAATCCAAAGTTTTTCCTAACACTTCATATAATTCAGCTGTGAGAGCCAGATGATCTGTTCTTTTGTTTTGCTGTTAAAGAGAGTATTTGTGAATGTGCGCAATATATTTTCAGAACAAAGCTGAAACAGTGATCCTCATAGCAGCTCACTGGCACAGGGAAAAACTTCCACAGTGGGGCCTGAGACGCCTGTTTTCGCAGTTACCAGAGCTGGCCAAGGTTGCTTCTGCTTACTCATCTTCCTCTAGGCTCCCAGTGTTTTCCTGGAATATGCTCATGGTGTGTGTGGGGAGTGGGGGGTGTCTGGGGATGTTATTTATAATCTCACATAATCCTCATTCTCATACAGAACACATGCAGATTTGCTTTGCACGGGGAGAGTAATGGCCCATGTGAGAAGGAAAGAATGCAAGGGAGGCACTTGGCACTCCTGGCCCCCAACCTGAATCCAATTTAGAAGTCTTGGCCTTCTGACTGTGGGCAAGGAGGTGATGGACCCATGACACAGTCGAGTGTCTGCCTGTCTTTGGAAGATGAAGCTCAGTCTGGACCCAACCTTCAGTAACGACATCATGGCCAATCTATAGTGAAAGCAGTAACAGGGACACAGGCTCCGGATGATGAGGGCAGGGGGCTCTTCTGGCACGCTTTCTCCTTAACAGTTCACACAGCAGAATTTACCTTTGCATCATTGATAAATTCTGAAATGGTCACCAGCTGAAACATAGCTACAGACTGTCTTTGGAAAAGAGAGAAGAAACAATTTTAGGCTGTAATTCAAATAAGCAAGACCTAGGAATAGCCCAGCTTCTGGAATTAGCCATTGTTCATACTGATGCTATGACACTATCCTGGGGTTACAGGCAGGCAGCATAACCTAGCTGTCCTCTCATTATCAAGATAGAAAAAACAATTCCCATGGCCATGTGGAGCTGGATAGTACACAGGAATCCAATAGGACAAGCTACTCGGTATGGAAAATGGGCTCAGACTAGAAAAATAATCAAAGTATATAAAGTTCTTGCTACACAAATGTGATAAAGTGAGCTCAGATGATTTGAGAACTGCAAAGCTGTTTGGAAGCCACTTGATGTGAGAATCACAAAGATTATATATATATATATATATATATATATATATATATATATATATATACATGCCACTTCACACCATCTGACCCAGTCTTCACAATCTAAGAAAGTGCACTGAGTGACCTCTGTCTCCTTTTAAGAGATCACATCTGCAGACAAGAAGCCACACTCAAAGACAGCTTCCCAAAGCTGTTGGCAG